CTCCCTTGCTGAAGGAGTCCTGAGGAAGTCTCATGTACTGCTTAATACCGAGTGACAGTTCTCGCTTCTCTTTCTCCTTTGAGCAGGTCTTTCCTCACGGCTTATGCTCATAAAAGGGACTTCAAGCCCAGTTGACCCCGTTGCATATATTACCCCATTGAATGAAGTCTGATACTATACTTGGGAAAATACTCGACATACGCTTTATAAATCCATAACAAAATGATTGTCACATCTGACAAGGTTTCTGACGATTGTGGCAGAGGCGACAGCACAAGATGTATCGAGTATGAACACCGAGAGGAGGCCACGGAGATCAGTGCAATCAGCTCTGGAGGCCTTCATCGACGCCTCAATAACCGCCATATCCAGCTCACAGCCATTGGCGGGACTATTGGAACTGGCCTCTTTATCAGCATCGGTAGCGCGTTAGCTACGGGTGGGCCTGGTAACTTGCTGCTTTGCTTCCTGGCCTACTCCTGCGTTATATCCCTGATCAATAACTCGGCGGCAGAGATGGTGACTCAAATGCCCATATCAGGAGGTTTCATTCGTCTGGCCGGGCATTGGGTGGACGACGCACTCGGTTTCGCCATCGGTTGGAATTTCTTCCTCTACGAAGCCCTCCTGATTCCCTTCGAGATCGTGGCGTTGAATGGGGTGACGTCTTACTGGGCACCGGAGATTGTTCAGCCAGGTCCACTTGCTGGGTTTTGCTTGGGTGTCATCATCTTCTACGGGTTAGTTGCCCAACTATGGGACAGAATCCCCTGTGGTCAGCAAGAGACTCCTCCCGCTAATATGATCTTGAAAACTGCTGTAGTCTTCTCAATATCGTAGCTGTGTCCGTCTTTGGAGAGGCCGAGTTCTGGCTCTCTAGCGGCAAAGTCATCCTCATGTTCATAGTCTTCGCCTTTACATTCATCACGATGGTGGGTGGGAACCCTCAAGGTGATGCATATGGGTTCCGCTATTGGAACAACCCCGGTCCTTTCGTTTCGCAGGCGGCTTCCACCGAAGCTCTTGGGCATTTCGAAGGTTTCTTGAGCGTGCTTGCGGTTGCGGCTTTCATCATCGTCGGGCCTGATTATATCACCATGATCGCCGCAGAGGCCAAACACCCAAGCATCTACATCAAGACAGCCTTCAAGACCGTCTACTTCCGCTTTGGTATCTTCTTCATCGGCAGTGCGCTCGCCGTCGGCGTGGTTCTCCCCAGTAATGATCCGAAGCTACAGCAAATCTTTATCGACGGCGAAGGCTCCTCAAGTGCCGTTGGCTCTCCGTACGTCATCGCAATGACAAATATGGGCATCACCGTCCTACCTCATATTGTGAACGCTCTCCTCTTCACCAGCATTCTCTCTGCTGGCAACACATATACATACTGTTCGGTGCGTTGCCTTTACGGCCTTGCAGTCCAGGGACACGCACCTTCTTTCCTCAAAAGATGTACAAATAAGGGCATTCCTGTCTATTGCTTCCTTGTCACCATGCTTTTCCCATTCCTATCCTTTCTTTCGGTTAGCAATGGCTCCGCCAATGCCCTCAATATTCTTCTATCACTCATTGCTGGCGGCGGGCTTGTAAACTACGTCGTCATATCGATTACATACCTGCGCTACTACAACGCTTGCAAAGTCCAAGGCGTCAATCGCAGGAATCTACCCTACTATGGATACTTCCAACCCTACGGCGCTTGGATCTCCTTGGTTCTGGAATTCCTTGTGGCCATCGGCTACGGCTATAGCGCTTTCACGCCATGGAGTGTCCAAGGCTTCTTTGCTAATTATACGATGCAGCTCCTCGCCCCAATTCTCTATATCTTCTGGAAAGTGGTCAAAAAGTCCAAGCTGAAGGAAGGCTCTGAAGTCGACCTCGTGTGGGAGCGGCCAGCGATCGATATCTACGAAAGCCAGACGATGATTGACGATCCGCCGATCTCTTTCTGGAAGGAGATAGGCACAATTACAGGCATGAACCGGGCCGGGAGATATTTCTTTGGATCGTCAGACCGATCCTAGGCGTTTGGTTCATGCTAATTCCTCAAATTCAGATTGGGCAAGTAGTATTTTTCTAGCGGCCTTAGGCCGCTCAGCTTCCCTGAATAGAGGCATAGGACGTGCTGAGCTAGCTACCTGCTGTCTTTGTATATACGGCATGTATGTCCATCTCGCTTTCGGGATGAAGGCTCCACCGATTACCTCCAAACATTGATTGATATACAAACCACCACCCAGAAAACAGACTGGGAACTTAGGAACTATCACCGGTTATAGGTTAAAATCTCAGAAGGGTAGCCACGTAAAAACTCTCGTAATAGATTCCAGTAGATTGATCACAATGATCAAAAACGATCCCGCTTACCAGGAGTCACCATGAGGCATAGCAGCCTATGGGAAGCACCAGAGAATAAGGAAGTATATAAGGTGGCAAAGCAGCTGAAAGAATAAGCCACGGTAAGGGTTGCTGCTTCTTAGGAGGTAAGCCAGAGGTCAGTGTTGATGGTAGCGGCGAGAGAGGTAGTCTGCATAGAACAAGTGGCAGATCCTGTATGAATTGGATGCCGAAATAGATAATAAAGAGTAACGAAGTACGCTTGCCAGTGTAACTCATCGTTCAAAAGGTTATAAATTGCTGAAAACTATACCTATCACAAGTCATCAACTTATTCCACCTTTGGCATGTTCACCAAACTCTGTGTCGTGCCGATGTCCTCGGACTTCCATAGAGAAGTCACAGTCTTCCACTGCGTATAGAATCTCAGGCCATCCTTTCCATAGAAGTTCAGAGAGCCGGTTCCAGCAATTGACTTCTTGTTGCCGGTGAATGAGAACATGGGGAGGGGCACGGGAATCGGGACGTTGATGCCGAGCTGTCCAGCCTCGAGACCCTTCTGGAACTTTGCGGCCGCACCTCCGGACCTCGTGAACACTACAGCTCCATTACCGTAAGGGTTGTCGTTAATGAGTTTGATAGCTTGATCGAGGTTATCAGCACTCAAGCAGACGAGGACTGGGCCGAAGATCTCTTCGGTGTAGCATTTCATATGCGGCTTGACGTTCGTGATGATTGTTGGACCAACCTTGGAGAAGAAATCAGTTTGGAGGACTAAGACGAAGACATTGCATCAGAAAGAGAAAAGAGCGACTTACAAAGTTTCCGTTAGGGTACTTGGCCGGCCTTTGACCTCTGCCATCAAGGAGGATTGTTGCGCCCTCCGCCTCAGCACTGGCGATGAGATCCTCCACTCTCTTTAAGCTCTCTGGAGACACCAACGGCCCCAAGTCTGCTTCCGGCTCAAATCCGCCATTGATCTGAAGTTTCTTGGCTCGATCCACGAGAGCAGGGAGCCACTGGTCTGTCCCGCCAAGGGTTACCAACGCACTCAGGGCCATGCACCGTTGACCAGCGGCCCCAAACGCGGCACCGGCGATACCGTTGAGCGCTAGGTTCTTGTCGGCGTCGGGCAAAATGACTGCGTGGTTCTTGGCACCGAGGTTGGCCTGCACCCTCTTGCCTTTGGCGGATCCCCTCTCATAGATGTATTCACCTGCCTGGTTAGAGCCAACAAAGGAGATGGCTTTGATAGCGGGACTATCAATGATGAAGTTGACGGCGCGCTTGCCGCCATGAATGATGTTTACCACGCCGTCAGGGAAGCCAGCTTTTTGGCAAAGCTCAGCGATGATCATAGAGGCCCCGGGTGTCCTCTCAGAAGGCTTCAGCACGATCGTGTTTCCAGTGATCGTGGCAATTGGAAGAGACCAGAGGGGAATCATGGCCGGAAAGTTGAAGGGGCAAATTGCAGCGACCACACCCAAGGGCTCTCTGTAGGAACGGGTTTCCATATCCTTGGACACCTCGACGACCTCGCCAGGTATCTGGGTGGTGATGCCACAAGCAGTCTCAACAACTTGCAGACCACGCAGAACATCGCCCTTGGCATCGGCGAAGGTTTTTCCTTGCTCAAGTGTAATCGAAGCTGCCAGACGGTCCATGTTCTCTCTGATCAAGGCGGCCAACTTGAACATGATCTGCTGTTTGTGGAGAAGACTCGTGGCCTTCCAGGCGGGGAAAGCACGTTCAGCAGAGTCAACAGCCTGCCGAAGCTCCTCATCTGTACTCTCTGGTACCCGGGTAACCTGTTGGTTTGTTGCCGGATCCTTGAGATCGATCCATTGCGACGCGGCAGAGCGCACAAAGGAGTTGTCCAGAAAGTTTGGGGTGTCTGGGGGGTTCGTGACAGGCTCGTGGGTCATGCGGTATCCGGCCGTCGAGTCAGTAACAATAGACTTGGCCCCGAGATGCGAAACAATGGAGTCCAGTCTTCTTGAAGCTTGAGATGACATGTTGGAGAACGACAGCGGTGCGCGCAGGACCGGTCGCAATTCGGCTCGGGAGGCACAGAGTCGCAGTCTCCCAAAAGTTGGAAGCATGGCTTGTCTCCGACAATGAAGGTAAAGGAGGCTGATGGGTTGAGCGTTGTGAAGGAAAGTGATGTATGATACAGAATCCCGCGATGATAATCTATGGTCCTTTTTATCCTCGATTCTTCTGTTCCCCAAGTTTCCTCTACGTCACCCCCTGGACCGTCTCAGCAGCTCCTTTAAATCGTCGCAAGCTCTCATCGGAAATGTCTTCTCAAGGCCAGTTCAACTTCCCACTCCAAGACGGACCGGTCTCCACCCCGGACCGTCCCCACTCCGAACCCGTATACTTCGCTGTGAGAACCCCATTACCCCAGGCTTAATAAGTTGTTGTATGTAAACTTGGTATATCTTCGGGAGCAAGGCAATTCGATTCATCCTTCTATTATATTTTGATCCTCGATTTCGCTTCTAAATATGCAAGCCTCCAACATTATCCGGCAGACGCGGAATTCACTGGGGTCTCTACACTCTCGACCTCTTCACCTACAGGGCAGCCCGACCTTCAATCCTTCACAAGCCTCGACCTCTCGCTCTTTAACCCGAAAAGGTTTCTCACAAACATCCGCAATGGCAATCCCAACAGACAGAGCCAACACAATCGGGTTCATTGGCCTGGGTGCCATGGGAAACCACATGGTAAGCCGCCGCACCCGGAAGTCGCATGAATGGAACCCATTTCTAAGCCACATCGCCACAGCTTCATAATCTCGTGAAAAGATACACGCCTCCTGGAGATGGCGGCCAGACCACATTCGCCCTGTGCGACGTGGACGAGGCCGCGGTAGATGGTGTCATCGAGCGACACAGCTTGGAGAGTCCTAATATTCCTTTCATCAAGTGTCCCTGTAGGTGACAAACCATGGCAGATTCTAGCTCAAAATTGAAACATGGCTGATTCCGCGCACAGCGCCATATGAAGTAGCCAAGCAAGCGTCAATGATCATCAGCATGGTGCCAACAGGCAGGCACGTGCGGGATGTATACGTTGACGGAGAGAAGAGTGTTTTGAGCGCTCTCCAGACACTCAGCAAGGACCAACGCTCGGCGACCCTTTGCATGGACCAATCCACCATCGAGCAGAGCGTCAGCGGGGCTGTTGCCCTGGAGCTCAGAAAAGCTGGTGCAGACATGCTGGACGCCCCAGTGTCAGGAGGTAAGTCCATATTGCCATCTACCAAGTTGTGCCCTCTACCAAGTTGTGCCATCGTCACAAGCTTGTGCCTAACCTATGATCTGCAGGTGTTGTCGGAGCGGAGAACGGCACCCTCGCTATCATGGTTGGAGGCGACAAGGCTTCCTTCAACCGCTCGGTCCCGGTTTTGCAGTCCATGGCTCGCAAGGTCACTTACTGTGGTGATCTCGGGGCTGGACTTGCGGCGAAGATCTCTAATAAGTAAGACTGTTACGATGATCCCCCGCCTTCCCTTTCTCTTCCTAGAGAGAAAATGGAGAGAAAGTAAACTCCCGACTGATCAACTGGCGCTTTTCGTGCGTGTCCCTTTACAGCCTTCTACTTGGAATCACTATGCTTGGTCTAAGGTAAGACTGATCAGGGTCACTCATATTACTCGTCGCGAAGCTAATGCAGTGTAGCGAGGCAATGCTTCTGGGTAAGAGGCTTGGAGTGGACCCGCAGGTGCTTGCAGATATTATTAACAGTTCCACCGGCCGTTGCTGGTCCAGTGAGGTGAGTGCCGTGGCGCCATAGCCCATTTCGAGAAATTCGTACTCTGACAAAATCTGGTAGATCAACCATCCTGTTCCTGAAGTAAAGGTCGGAGAATCCAGCCCTCCAGCCCACCGCGGCTATGAAGGTGGCTTCGTTACCAAGCTGGCCCATAAGGATCTCGCCCTAGCAGTCAAGGCCGCTGAGCAGGCCGGCGTCCCTCTCAACGTTGGACAATGCGTAGAGAAGACTTACAGGCCATTGGCGGCAACTAAGGAGTTTGGCGGCCGAGACTTCAGTGTGATATATGAGGCTCTCGACGCTCTGAAGTCTTCAGCAGGAAAGCCCAAGCTGTAGACTTGCTTCTCTGTTGGTTAAATGAACCAGACAGAATCATCTCATGTATTGCCAGGTCTCTAGTACCAAACACGTTCACGCTTCAATCAAGTACTTCATATTTGAGTCCATGATTAGATGTGACTGTAGACTCAGAGCGTGATTCTTTATCATGACGCCGTTGTTAAAAATACACGTGTGTATAGCGACCTCTATCCGCATACATCGTACATGGGAGTCGGAAAACTCCCGTTCTTCTACCGGCTTTCTCAATGTTGGTTAATCGTGCTCATGGCAGGGAATGAAGAATAATCAACCGTGCCAAAAAGCTCAACCCACGAGCTCAGTAAGGCCCCGTCTGTCGTCTGTTCATCCATTATCGTGTCGTCTGCATCTTGATCGGACATGGTATTGTAGTCAACCACCGCCCAGAGGGTCTCTTCCTCCATCTGGGTAAGCGTCGATGGTTGCGTCCAATCAAGTAGGCTACTGCCTAAAAATCCATTATAGACCATCCGTCGGAGCATTGAAGCCTGTGGAGACACGCGTCAGCGCAAAAACAGGAAGACGCGGCCACCAAGAATTCTCAAAACATACCATTGTGATCACGTTACTCCAGTGCTGGCCAACAGTGTCTAGATATAATAGAGCCTCGTCGAGCAAGACTTGGGCTTTCTCAAAAACCTGCGGATCCGAATCGTAGGTGCGCAATGCTATGATGGAACCCGCCACGGTGACAGCGTATCCGCTGGACGAGGAGTGAAACGAGCAACCACACTTGCGTGCTTCGCGAATTAGTGTCATCATCTGCTGCGCGTGGTGCCAAGCCAAATCGGAGGATCGTTCCATGAAGCTCATGGGGGCTAAATTACGGCACGTATCGATGCGTCGCCGTAGCAGGAAAGGGTGGTTGAGCAAACAGTAACAGAGGTGAAATAGGGCCCGGGAAAAGATGATTGGGCCCGTGGATTGCGAATCCACGACTCCTTCAGCCGAGATATGCGGAGCCAGTACATCTTTGACGGGGAGCTGGATCTCCAGATACGCCTCAAAGTGCAGCAGGTCCGACTCCATGGCGGCAAATTCGGAGCTTGGGTCCCACGGGGGATGCAGATTTCGAATGTTAGAGTCTTGCAGCATGAACTGGGCACTCCGACCCAAGATCTGCGCAATGGCTATGACTCGGGCAAACGCGCCCTGCCTCTGCGTTACTGGCAGCGTGCGATTCGCCATTTCATCCAGCGATTGAGTCTTGGTCCACAGCCCGCTCCTCCATATTGGTTCATCGGACGGCAGCTGTAGATGGCAAGACGCATCCACTATGGCCGGTGGCCGGCCACGACCACAGGAGACCAAGCGATCCAAGAGAAAGACGGACCAGAAGACGCGGCGTCTCTCCTCCTGCTCCGCGTAAGGAAGGGATGTGGCATTCTCCAGCATGAGCCCGCAATCCTGGGCGATCCTCACAGCTAGCCCAACCTTCACCCATGCTGACCCATGGCGTGATCGACCGGCTAGATGACGACCACACACAAAGACATTAGCAAACAGCACGACCTCTCGATATATCATCTTACCAACAAATCGCTGGACCTACCTGTGAAGTCGAAAAGACCCAGCAGAGCAACCGTCTGCACAGTGGATACTTCTGCGACCTTGCCAACTGTGAAGCAGTCGGCCACGATGAGCTTCCAGGCCCTGTTCGCATAATCCACAGAGGCCTCATGCACCCGTCTGGCGAAGTATGGGTGCGGACAGAATCTCACGGCCGTCGCCACGACGGTCAGTACTAGATGTTTTGGAATTATTTGCGCTCGCAGGCGTTGCCGAAAGTTCTCCTCGTGAAAGAAGGAGTAGGGCTGGTTGTGACAATAGTGAAAGTAAGCATCGATGACAGCCATGAAGACATCTTCCGGCATGCCGAAATCCTCAAAGAGAGATTCCGACAGCTGGGCGTTCGAGCTGACGGCTCTTTCTGTCGTCGCATCGGATTTCCCGGGGCGGTTATCGCCTTGCTTCGCGGGTGTCGATAGGCCGATACGGCGAGAATTGTCGCCATCCAAAAGGGCTACCATGCACTCCTCGATCCTAACCCGGGAATTGTCAACTGCGCGTGGTTCCAGAAAACTTTGATACGAGGCAGGAGACTCACCGTTGGAGGGACGATCCGAAATTCTCGATCTTTGCCTCGAGGGTCGCAACCCTTCGTAGCAGTTCGGTGGTCTAGAGATGGCCGGGCAGATACGTGTCAATCAGCGCCTTACTCGGTACTGTATCATGGTCGGTATTGTACCTGCGTTTCTCCAGTTCCTGCATTGTCTTGCGAGCTGCCGGGGTCATCACGGCTGATTCGGCGAGGTCCGGCATAATGCCCGGGGTTTTCATCGACATATGTACATTCTTGGCTAATTGTCAGACGTCAAGCTTGTGTCACGCTTCGAAGGAAAGAGCAAACATAGAATGAAGTAGCCAGAATATAAACAACGGGAGCAAAAAGGGCAGATAATGAATTAGAAAGGAACAAATGAGAAATTTCACTGACCATTTCCTAAACGCTGGCACTGGGCGCAGGCGGGCCGATCACCGGTGCAACGGCATTTCTTGCGTCTTCAAAGGTCAGCTCCAGCGCGAAGGAGGGGGAAGGGTAATGACGCGCTCAATCCGCATACCGACATGGGAGACACGCCTGGGCGATGCGTTGCACTGGAAAATAATCGCCACCTTTGCCAGTCATGCTGATTGACAGGGGTGGTTAGGGTGGGATATGGGGATGAGTCGGAGCGACTCTCTCGTGATGTCCAGAAAAGTTGGGGATCGTCCAAGAACGGTACTCGTGTCCCGCCCCACCTGGGTGGTGCTGGCCACTATTGACACTTATACCCCACAAGAGACAAACTGCTACTCCAAATTGGAGATCAGATCACAGACACACAAAGTGAAGACGGATAATAAACTTGATTTGATAGTACTATGATGCTGATCAAGCTCCGTATTTAGAGAGGGAGGATCCAGCCTTTTATCTGACGTATAGCCTCAATGTACTACTTACACCCAATACTTATATATACTACTCACCTATGTACGCAACTTGTACAATGTATGATAATTCTACAACGGGTTTCCACCCTACAATAATCATACCACAGGTTTCTATGATGGTTTCTACATAAGAGATATAGTATGCGGAATATCAACATCTCCGATACATCGCGGTATTCGTCCCGACACAATATGTATCGGCACGTGACCGACTATCGAAAATTACGTAATCAATTACGCCATTGTCCCCATAACTAACTAACGTGATCCACGGTCGCGCGAGCGACCCTACCAAAATTGAGAAAACCTACAATTTTTAGCCGCTATTGAACCCACAATAATGATATAAGTTCGGCTTTTGAACACGTGTAGGGTATTTGGAATATGTATGACCTTTTATCGCACAACCAGAACATGTCACCTGCCGCCGAACCAGGGCATTGATGGTCCAATAGGCTCAGGAACCGATTTCGCAGGCACCTCTGGTGAAGATATATCTGCTTCTATCTTCATCTTCAACAACCACATCATCTTGACCACCTTCTAGACCCCCAAAGATGCCTTTCTGGGTAGTAAACTTGTGTTTGGTCTCTCGTTTTCTGGTCTGTTTCTTGTTGGTAGCTTCTAATTGGGTACAGCGATGCTGGAGAAAAATGTGGCTGTGGACTACTTTTATAGTTATCCTGCAGGTCTTATCAATCTCCCTTTCTGTCGGTGAAGAAAGCAATGGAGAAGAAGATTTTAGACCTTTTTTTAATTCCGAGATTGCGATTTGTAAATTTTGAGAGGGTCCAGAGAGTACTTGGGTCACTATCGCTGCCGGAAGAGAGTGGTCGCTGGGCGAGGGTCTCTAGAGGGGGAAGAGAATTCAGGTGCATATTCAGCTTTTCCAGGACTTGATTAGCATTCAATAGTGCTAATCCAGTAGCCAAAAAGCTATTTTGTATAGTGGAAGCCTTGAAAGCACCTATTCTCACATCTGTGATTAGTTCCAGGAAATCTTCCTTGTCAATAGTATTGACTCCGTCCGCATCAAAGTTGAGACCGCTCCTCTATAAAGTCTCTTTAAACCCGAAAAACAACCCACATCCAAAGTTTGTAAAAGATGAGAAGCGTGCGGAGGCATACAGATTGCGATAACTTGGTTTCCTCCACAGATTTGGTCAAATTCGGGGGTCAAATGACTCCCATGACCATCAAGGACCAGTCAGCAATATTTTCCCACTCTTGTCCCAATATTTGAGATAAAATGATGTTCTAACCACCATAAACCAATCGTATTGGTAGTCCAACCATTTGGGCTTATAGTTAGACGAGCTTCTTTTTGATTTAAAAGAAGATAGGGCCGTAAATGCTCTGGGAACTGGTTCCCTTTGAAAACGAACAGCGGAGGAAGAACACTCCCAGAAGCTCTAATACACTCAATCGAAGTCACCCACTCCCGATTCCCGGCTTGCAAAAGTGCCCTTTCCCAATGGTATTCCGCTGAAGTGATGATCTTTGTGTGGCGCCAACACCCATGGCAAAACCGGTCTCATCAAAGTTGAAGATATCATCTGAAGCGATACCCCACTTTTCAATCGTCCTTTGGAGCAAATTGAACCACGGTTCAATAATTCGAGGGTCTTCTGAAAGGGCTCTCTGATAGTCGTATTTGCGGGAAAGCCGAGTAGAGAGATTTGGGTGTCGCTGACAAATTGAGAAGGCAAGTTAATACCAATGGCAGAGGGTGTTTTTTTTTCCGCGCACTAAGTAGAAGATTGGCCATATCTCGCAAAATAGGCAAAGTCAGAGCTGCACCTCTTGCATCCATATCAAGTAGCCAGTTCTCTATCGACGATTCTTCGATTTGAGTGAAATCATGACCAGATGGCCTCTTTTCAGCAGCAGATTGGCGCCCATTGATCCGGGCATTCAAAGTTGAGACAGGTACGTCAAAAGATCGTGCAGCAGCTGCAGCAGAGGGATATCTACCATCTTTGATGGCTTTCATAGCTAGCAAAAGGCGACCTTCCTGCTCTGTCAATTTTTCTTTTTATCATAGCGTTGGGGGACCACCGTTGTTGTGGTTAACAAATATGGGTAATTTTGAAGTGGATTTTTGATGGGGCCGCTCGGGCGACCATGTGGCTCGGACGACCGTGGATCACGTTAGTTATTGACTGCCACATTATCATTACACTTATGCAATATTGATAGTATGACGCAAATAGCGGGAGAAACGGCCCGTAGTAACGTGCTTGGACATGGGGAACCCCAGCACAAGTCAGGTAACATTCTTCAAAAGAGCATATCTGTTGCTTTATAATTTCCTTGTTCTCCCTCTGCTTCTTACCCCAGTTAAAATAACTCTAATCGCGCTACCTGATATGCTTCAAATGTTGCCGCGACGCCTCCCGTACTGGCTTTTCCAGCGCTCCCACGCGACCGTGCCCTCCCGCCTGGCGCGGCGCTCCTTCACATCCGGATGTCCTCATATGTCGGCACCGCCCGTCCAACCCGCTCCATTATTCGCAACACTGCCCTCTGATTCATACCAGCTACTCTCCACGACAGACAAAGCTGGCCCTGCCGAAGATGCTCTCTTTGAACAACAGGTGCGCGATGTACAATACTGGTGGAGTTCCACCCGATACGAGGGTATCGAGCGGCCCTACTCGGCCGAGGATGTGGTGGGCAAGCGCGGGTCGCTGCAACAGACGTACCCGAGCTCGCTGATGGCGCGTAAACTACTCAATTTGTTAAACGAACGTGCTACGTTGGGCGAGCCAGTGCATACCAGTAAGTCATGAAGCTCTCTCGCCGTATGCTGAGTCCCAGTCATCTTAATCATCCTGTGCGCGCAGTGGGCGCCGTTGACCCGGTGCAGATGACTCAGCAGGCTCCCAACCAGGAGGCTTTGTATGTTTCTGGCTGGGCTTGCTCATTCCTGTTGACTTCCACCAACGAGGTTTCACCGGACTTTGGTGACTATCCTTACAACACCGTGCCAAACCAGGTCCAGCGATTGTTCAAGGCGCAATCCATGCACGACCGCAAGCAATGGGATGCTCGACGGAGAATGACCACCGCAGAGCGCAATTCCACGCCTTACATAGATTATCTGCGACCGATTGTCGCCGACGGTGATACTGGGTATGTTTAATCCACAACATTCGTTGGACGGCAATACTAATACTGATTTTCCGGAGACATGGTGGCTTATCGGCAGTGATGAAGTTGGCAAAGCTTTTCGCTGAAAACGGTGCGGCGGCCGTCCACTTCGAGGACCAGCTTCATGGTGGCAAGAAATGTGGTCATCTGGCGGGTAAGGTCCTTGTCCCGATGGGCGAACACATTAACCGTTTGAACGCTGCGCGCTTTCAGTGGGACATGATGGGATGCGAGAACCTGCTGATCGCACGCACGGATTCAGAAAGTGGTCGGTTGATCAGCAGCACTATTGATGTGCGCGACCATGAGTTCATCCTCGGTATTGCGGAGGTGGTGGAGTCCTTGGCGGAGACTCTCCAGATAATGGAGCATGAAGGCGCCTCGCCGGCCGAGATCGACGCCTTTGAGCTGGGCTGGATCCAAAAGCACAGACTGATGACATTTGACGAGGGCAGGTCCAATTTAAGTTTCTTTCAGCTATTGCTGCTAACAGAATCTAGCTGTTGATGACCATCTAGAGGTCGAAGGTGCTCCCATGTCTTCCCGGGAATCCTACAAGAGCCATGTTCAGAAAAATCGCGATCTTTCAATCTCTCGCCGCCGTTCTCTGGCTAAGTGCTACACCAAATCGCCGGTTATTTGGTCATGCGAAATCCCACGAACCCGCGAAGGATATTATCACTATCTAGCAGGATTCCCTGTCGCGACAAAGCGTGCCAAGAATTTCGCGCCTTACGCTGATCTCATTTGGGTTGAGACTGGGGATCCCGACGTTGGAAAGGCCGGATCGCTTGCCGGTGAGGTGCGTGCCACCTACCCAGGCAAGAAGCTAGTGTACAACCTCAGCCCATCGTTCAACTGGATGGGCAAGGGATTCACCGAGGCTTCGCTGAAGTCATTTATCTGGGACCTTGCTAAGCATGGGTGAGCACTGCGATTTAGTTAGTCTGATTTTGAACAATATGGCTCACAGTCTTAGATTCGTCCTCCAACTGATTTCGTTGGCCGGTTTGCACGCCAACGCAACAATCACTACCGAGCTTTCCCGTTCGTTCAAGGATGAAGGCATGCTAGCTTACGTCCGTCTGGTCCAATCACGCGAGAAAGAGATCGGTGTCGATGTATTAACTCACCAGAAGTGGAGCGGTGCCCCTTACATGGATGGCATCCTGGGTCTGATCCAGAGCGGAAGCAGCAGTAGTAGCAAGAGCATGGGTGAGGGCAACACGGAGAATAGTAAGCGAACCTTTTTCATCCAGAATAGTATGTTTCTCTGATATAAGGTTCAGGTTTTTGAATTAACGTCCACTCCGGAGGACTATCAAGCCTTTTCATCAACAAAAATACAAAGTTCTTTTCTTGCCGGTCTGAAGCAGATTTTCGAAAAAACACATAATCCACCCAGTTTGATGATCAAGGTGTTATCCAAAACCTCAAGCATTATTGTCGGAAAAAGAGCATTTGACATTTTTGCTCACGACAAGTAGTTCACCTGGCGAATCTTCCGCAAGACACTGTTTACCTGCCGACCGAATGATACCTATCGTTCTCAATCGGGCTTTGCGATGGCACGGATAGCTATGCCAGCGGATGCAGTCCCCAGATGTTGACACAAATTTATGATCAATATGAGACGAAGCCCGTGATTTCGGGAGAAGTTCAATACGGGGAATCGCCTCATTCGATGAGAATTTCGATGGACAACCCCCGATGAATAGGCCCATTGGACTTAACTGCCAAGCGACACACACAAAATTGCGCCCGCTGGTACTTCATGGCCTACAAGTGGAGCAATCGTGCCCAAGAAGGGATAACATGAAGCCCAACATCTGGGAAACCATACAGTGCAATCTGCGAGTTCGGCATCTCTGATCCGGTTGTCAGTACAGAGCCAACTAGTAAGTGTTGCCGCCGGCGGATTCGATTCGGCTGGCAAGTTTCCCTGCGGATTTTCAGTATCAAAAAAAAAATCAAAAAGCATCCCTGCTTGGTCACATGGGTCATTCTGAAGTCCGGGAGTTCTCATGGAAGGTGCTCCATGCTAGACTATTCTAAACTGCGCCGTCTCTCGCGGTATCGATCAAATTATTATGGTCCTTCAAAAGCTGTCGAAAGTGGAATGGATCTCTCCAGATTCTTGTTGGTTGCTGGCCCAAATTGGTGCACCTTGGTTTCTTTCAAACATCCGCTGCCGTCCTATCACGTGACATATGACAGAGTCTCGATTCTGCTGAAGACAAGTCGATTTGAGCTTCCAAAATTCACGAACATTTTATTGGCGGATAGAAAAATGCAGAGAATTCTGTACTCAGTGATATCAAATTCCACCCAGAAATTCACTCTGGGTAGATGTGGGAATCTACGAAGAGGAAGCCATGACCGTGTAAGGCCAACATTTCCACCGCAAATGGCAGAACAAAGAGGGCTCTAGCATAATGGTGCTTGACATCTAGCTCAGTTGCTTATCATGCAGTCATATGATTGAGTGTTGTGGTATGATTATATGGTGTAAGTTGCAAACTTCTCTATCTTTTTAGGTTGCATCGTCTCCACCGACCAGCAAGAAAATCAAGCTGATCCCCAAACTGTTTCTTTGTGCAGATACTTCGGAAGTCATGACGGTACTTCGACTTAGTTCCTGATTAATACCAGCCCTATGTCAGAACAGAATTCTCCGTCATTATGGACTTTAGAAAGGCTGGCCTGTGAAAGAAAATAAATCATGTAGGTGGGGTCTTCCCCAAGTCGGACCAAAATGTGCGCGAAGGGTGACACACCGCCTGTTGAGCGACTCACGTTCCGTTTGTCAACGCGTCCACACACCATTAAGAGTCTGCTCGACGCGTTAACACTGTCACCATCCACAATTCGGTTCCCTATCTGGGTCAACTGTTTATCAAAGCTGGGAGAGACCGGGTGACCGGGTGGTTAGCGTTTTTCAGCTTCTATACTGAGTTGGGGCGGCAATCCGTTGTAAGCTGGACCGGAAAAAGCCGAATCCGGGCAGCCGATGCTTGCTCAACGCTCGATTTTCTCGGGTGACTCCCGAGCCTCCGTTATATCTTCCGTTCAATCTCTCTACCGACTCCTCGAGACCCGCTATTCCAAGCATTCCTTTCAAATCAATCGAAGTGCTCGAGAAGAACTAGGCAAAGATTATAAAGCATCGCAATAATTTTTTACCGAAGATACAGCGGGATTTCACCAAGACTTTTGACCAACCCCGCATAAGGGCTACTGAGTATCCAGGTCCTTAATCAGGACCTTAGGCTAGAGGCGATCTGTTATAGGGCCAGACATATTAAAAGGCCAGGAGAGAGAATCGGAGGACAACATGGCGAGTTATTACAGCAAAAATCAACCATCAAATCTGTGTTACCTTACCCGGTACCCCGGTAGAGGGCATCAATAAAGCACGAATGAAGTCGATCACAATATCGTGTATACAGCGACGTTTAAATTTCTATACTTTATCTTGAAGGATATGTATGCAGCTTCCGACAAATGGAATGGTTTGCCAATCCATAAAAGATTGAGTGAGCCAGAGACATATTTACAAAGTGCCTGCCCAGGTGACGCTAGTATGCACGCCTTCAATGGTGTCCTATTTAATTGATAGTGGGCGGGTCAGAAACTACGGGCGGGTCTGTAACAAGTCAGTCTATGGTTCAGCGTGTTCAATGGCGAGGACACCTACCAGGACTCTCAGTTGTACCATTCTTTATGGAGGTAGTATCAATTCCCTGGTCAAATGGTCAGAATATTGCTGACCTTGATTAATAGGGGATGCCATCGACATACCAGAGTGATGTATCCAAGGACACCACTCTTGTAAGACTTTCCATCCAGGGGCTCAGTATCCATGATAGTCATTGCACCAGCTAGAATTTTATCTGGTTAAGCGTTGTTTCAAATTGCAAAGTCACAGACTGCGGTCAAACTCACTATAGGACTCATTGGTGTAGATTCCATCATTGACGTTCTTCAGGCGGGAAATCTGGGTATGGCTGGCATAAGGCTCCATAGCCATAATCTCCTCCTCCAATTCCTCAGCGAAGAAGATCTGTCCAGTACTAACGATGGGCCCATGAGATATAGTACCATTGAGTATGACACTCCAGTTCGTGTGAACCTGGACATGGATGTGAATCGCACGTTCGATCTATTGCCGGTCAGACATTTATGGTACTTTTCAAGCAAATAATGGTCAACATACGTAGAATCCAGGGAAAATGGTCTGGAAAGAGGTCGCGCCGTGTATGTCCGTGGGCCACATGCCTCGAAGCCAGGTCTCGCTATCGGTCGAAAGGCCCTAGATATGGTGAGCAAACCCTTCGCGGTCGAATTAATCTCTGCCAGATACTCACCTCCAGCTCGGACTGTGGAAGCCCGTCAGATGTGGAAAAAGTTCTTCCGGTCTGTTCTTTGTACACCTTTCCAAATGACTCATTTGGATCCAGACCAGTGAAGGAACTATAAGAGCCAGTGGCGTTGCAGTGCTTTAAAGCCTCTTTAGCTGAAATTCATTAGAGATTATTGCAGGAATCACACATACCCAGATATCTACCAAAACACCGGTCAGTGGCTCACAGGTATCAATATCCATGAGCGCAATATCCAGCACAAGTGGAACGCCCTCTTGACTTTCCGCAATATCCTGCCGAAGTTTCTGGCTCCGTGGATACCAGTAGGGTCCCTCACTCACTTCAGGAGTCAGAACAGTGGTGCCATTTTTCAAGAAATCGTACTTGGGCGCCTCAGCATGGATTTCATAAGTAGTTTCTCCATTGAGATCTCTCTTAGCCATTTCTCTGCGACGAAGGGCATGTCTCTTCATCTTGCTTTCTCCAACCATATTGGAACACTGCTTTGCCTTCTCAGACCGCGTTGCCAGCTCTGACGGACTGGGTTCTACATGTGGTCCAGGATGGGCTGGGATTCGTCAGAATCAGTTGCACAATTCAACAACGAGCAATACGTACCAGAGGCCAGAAGGCCAGAGAAGGCAACTGCCCCGATAAGGGCCGATTTGATAAACATGGAATCTGTATACTTTGCTTCTCAACGTTATCCCTGGCTGGATGACTGGGATGAACTGAAAAGCAGTAGAGCCAGACACCCTTGTCTACCTTTATATACATTTGACTTGAGTCGCCAAGTCGCGCCGAACGAAACTCGGTTAGCTGCGTATGGGTGCATGTTGACGATCAATTGGGCATCACATAATCAACACAGTGGAGACTTGCAGTAATCACCTCCACCTTGGGAGATAAGCCTGAAATGGAGTGTAATCATATCCACGGGTTGTGTCGTCTTCCTCAAAGCTGCGACCAGTCAACAGAATATCCTGATCGGCCGAGCTCCGTTGCACGCCTGGAGTGGATCGTGTTTCATTTGCCTTTGGCCATGTACCAAGGAAAGCCACATTCTTTCGCGCTCCCTAATGGAGTATAGACAGACCTGCAGTTTCATGCTTCCCGTGCGATTAGTGCTGACACCTTGATTCCATGACATTTGAAAGCAAATTGCTTACCCGGATGAAGCTCAGTGGTTTAAAGACTTTTCCTACCAATGGAATTCCCACAGAGACAAAATATAATGTGGACAGTGATCGGCTTGGAATTACCCACAGATAGTTTACATCCTTGCCGAATCTGGTGCACCCGAGCAAGCTATAACTTAGTACCAATGATCAAGCTTTTGTACGCGCAATTCGTCCCACCATTTGTTATGTTACACTAAATTGAGTGGAGCCTCCCCGGACATCGATGTCCGGAACTTGTAAAAATAGAGGATAAGACTACCAACCGAAAAATCCGCAGGGTCACAGATAGATGAAGTGGATAACCGCGCTCTCCCTTTTCCTTGTTCTGATGAGCTCTCATACATCATGGAAAACATTCGATATGCCCCTTCTTTGCAGGCAAAGATCACTGGAGAGCTCGACCAGAACGCAGGACTCGTTCTTTATCGTGGACTCCCTTATGCTTCAGTGAGCGCCCGCTGGACACACAGTATTGTCAAAAGTACCCTGAATGGTAATACTTTCGACGCTACCTAGTTTGGGCCGCGATGTCCCTAACGAAATGGAGCTGTCTTAGTGAGTGGCGGTGTCGCCGATCCTTCTCCAGGGGATGATGAGTTCCGTTGTCTAAATCTCAATATAACGACCCCGGTGGAATCCGTCTCCACTTCAGAAGATCCACCGTGTCCCCTTTTACCAGTCATGGTGTGGATTCATGGGTAGGTAGCCCCTCCCCGAATACCAAGTCCCCAAACACAATCTATCCTGCGAAAGATGTCCCTTCGCGCCAAGATCACTGACAAGGATAGTGGCGCTTTTGCATTCGGCTCCAATTCCGTCGCTCGGTACCGACCGCAAGCCTTTGCCGGGCAGGCGAAAAACCTCGGTAAGCCGGTGGTTATGGTGTAGATCAATTACCGACTAGGCGCATTGGGCTTTGCTGCTTCGAACGACATCACACTGGAGACTGGCGACCCACGCACTGGAAATTTTTGGCTTGGTGGATCAACAGAATGCCTTGCTTTGGGTCAATGCCCACATTCGGGATTTCGGGGGTGACCCATCGAATATCACCGCGCTTGGGGTCAGCGCCGGTAGTGCCAGCATCCACCATCATCTATTAAGTGGCGTTCCACTTTTTGATCGCGCAATCATGATGTCTGATGTCGCTCTAACTCTCGGTCCGTATCCGGTGCAGGCTTTGGAAAACAGCTGGAGAATGATGTGCGGTCGATATGAATTGACACAAGCGACGCCAGCAAAGCGAGTAGAAGTGTTGCGTAAATTGGAGCCTCTGGATCTGCTGGAGGCATACTCAACAGGGGTCGCTGGACCCGTTGCTGACGGCAAGAGGCTGCCGTTGAATTGGGGCTTTGCCGATCCGATGCCATCCTCGCGGTGCAAGGCGATCATTATTGGTGATACTAATGCGGAGTCTATTGGCTACAAACCCCTAGTGAAGCAGCTGTCTCAAACTTACTTTCATTGACGTGTGAGCGAAACATTCTCCCTTGATGATGCGTATGAACTGCATACTCATTTTCGCTTCACGGTACAGCCAGAGCCCGATGAAAGCTTCATAGAGAAAGTTTTGTTACTCTTGGGGACTGTCATATTCCATCTGCCCAACTTGCAAATCGCTAAGCATGGCAAACAGTCAAATCCGATGATAGATATGTTTCTGTACCATTTTGAAGAGCCATCCCCATTTGCAGGGTCAACATACGGTTTCTCATACCATGGTTTATGCGCCCTCCTTCTCCATCTTAACAGCTTAGAAGAATGCCCTCAGCCAACTCATCATGTGTCTCTTGAAGCTCAACGTATCTGGGCGGGTTTTGCATACGGAGAACATCCGTGGGAGGGCTACTCAGAGGCCCACCGCTTCATGCAGTTCGGACCGAAAGGTGGCTGCGGGATGCAAAGCCAGGATAGTGATACAACAAGGAATTACGGATTTATGTCATGGTTGGCAGAGCATTTTGATCAGTTTTACCCTTTCCTGCGAAGTCTCCTGACTGAGCTACGAGAGAAGTCCTCGGTGTGGAAATAGGAACTTCAAATTGGCAGATTTCAGACAACCCCACCCGGAAATTCCAGAGCGCAGTATAACCCAGATGATTTTGACACCTTCGCTCCATAGACCTCTACTGGTAGGTCTGATGTCCTCCAACGATGACAATGCCATTTTAATTTGTTGTAGATATTCGTTTCTCCAATCTCGCGTGTTGTAAATATTTGTTTGATGATATTGTAATCTCAAATGTAGCGCGGAAAGACTTGAACCCGATTCATGCGTAAATTGGCAAGAATGGTGTGCGAGTACCCTCGGTACGTCTTGTAAACCACTTGCCGACCTCCATACTGCTGGCTTTCAGCGATTATTTTAGTCCATGCATTATTTCTCTAGCCACAGCACTAGCGCATTTCAAGGTTGGAATACAAAAATAAAACAATGCTCAATGAAGCTAGACTAAATGCGGCCATATGGATGACTTGATGGATAATCGATCACCCCTACCTGTCGTCCGTTGCATCTCCGCTCAACGGCATTTTGCTGGTGATACATCCCCTTGGCAAAATTGATGCCCACAGAATTATTTCCTCATGATTCCGATAAATGACATATGCAAGTTCCAACAATTAGGGGGTTACAGGTGGTTGCCTAGGTATCATTTATGCAAAATTTAAAAGGTTTGGAAGAAGTAACTCAGTAAAGATAATATTATGAGGTACAACACAGTTCATTAATCATAGTTTCTCTTTTCCTCTAGGCAACATAATACTACTCTTTCCTCCAGCTGACGAGTAATCCTTCATCTTGAAAGTAAGTCGTCTGATAAGGGACATCTAATCATGAATATCTGGCAGCACAAACAAACGCCAGTACTCGTCAAAGTCCAGCGTCTGTGTGGCGCCCATACTCTGGCCCTTGGTCTCCCTTTGTGAGAATCCATTGCCCAGGTAAGCAAATCTATTCAAACTAGCCTCCGCAGTCCTTTGAATATTGAAGTCTTCCCACCGTGGGTTCTTGATAGCTTCCATGAAATGGAATGATGTTCCACCATAAATTGCCACGACAGGTCCGTCAACGGTGCCACGCTTGTACCAACTGCGGCAACCACGAGTCCAGACAGTGCGCTGCAAGTACTGCTGCATGTGTTGATTGTATTCTTCGTTCACATCGTTTCGTACTTCAAAGCTACCGATCATTTCAGTTTGCAACTTCTCCAGCCACTTGTAGACATATAAAGCAGTCGCTTGGATACCCAAAACCAGTGAGCCGTTGCTGATTGGGCTGTTGGGTCCGATGAAGCAGAAGTAATTTGGCATGTCCGGTACCATGAATCCGAAGTAAGCCTTAGGTTGTTCAACCTCCCACTTTGACGCCAAGTTCACTTTGTTTCGTCCGATTAAGGGAAATGACGGCTTGAATGAGGTGTCAAAGCCTGTTGCGCACACGATAACATCATACTCCTTCTCTTCTCCGGACCGTGTTAGAATTCCTTTCTCAGTGATACGAGCGACGTCATCCCACCACATATCAACATTGTCTTGTGTCAAGGCCTCGAGGAATCCTGGCCCGGGGGTCTGTCTCCGGCATCCGACGGGGAAGTCTGGTAGTAAATATTGCGCGGCCTTCCGGCCCTTCTCACTGTCGCCAAGTCTCTCAGTCATGCTCTTGCGGAAAAGCTCCTGAGCGCGCTTTTGAACGTCACTATCTGCAAGAGCACGCTGGAAGTTCTCGATTCGACGGTCCATAATAGCAGCTCGGTATTGCCGAAGCACCTCGGGGTCCTTGAATACGGCCATGCTCTCGGGTGTAAAGTTATAATCAGCATCCATGTCAGGATCGTTGGCGGTTGGCTCGTTGATACCAGGCGCTGGGGAGATCCAAGTCTGTGTCCTGACGTAGACGTCCATAGAATCCACAAGCTTGGCCAGTTGAGGCACGATCTGAATGCCTGAAGACCCGATACCAATGCTTGCCACCTTCTTTCCAGTGAAATCATACTCTTGATCCCACCGAGCAGAGTGGATGAGCTTGCCCTTGAAATTGTGGATGCCTTCGATATTCGGCCACTCCCATTTGCTATAGTACTATTAGCACAAGACACCATTAGAGTCTGGGAACTCCATAAGTAACGCTTACTTCAGCACACCGCCAGCATTGATAAAGACATCGACATCGTCCTGGAAGACGACCCCGTCGCCGTTCTCGACTTGGATCTCCCACTTGGCTTTGTCTTCATTCCAAACAGCCGCCTTGATGGAGTGACGGTATTTAATGAACTTGTTGCAGTCGTATTTATCAGCCACGCCATGCATATATGAATGGATCTGCTGGGAGGTGGCATAGTAATTCGGCCAATCAGGGTTGGGCGCAAAGCTATAAGCGTAGTTGTGCGCGGGGATATCGCATTTGCATCCGGGGTATCTAGCAATGCAATTCTAGATCAGCTCACGTCCTTGTAGGAAAATCGTACGGATTCTGTCCAGGTTAAGGTCCTTACCTATTTTCCAACCACGTTCCACCCAGATCCTCATTCCTTTCGTAGACGACTAGCTCCGCATTCGAATTCTTCATCCGCTCACTGAAGACAATACTCATCATGAGACCCGAGTAACCGGCTCCCATGCAGGCAACTCGTATGGGGCGCCGGGTTCCGATAGGCTGCTCGATAATTTTATAGAAGGGGTCTAGAAGAGATGCAGCCTCCTTCTCCAAGTCGAGCGCGGCGTCAAGGGGGCACGCCTTTGCATCTTTCTTGTTTAATGCAGCCGTGTCTGGCTCTGTGGTGATTACCGAGGGGCTCATCGTTAGAAATAACTTTGATCTTATGGCGAGATGTTTGAATATTTCAATTCATAATGAGCCGAGTCGCACGGATATATAAATGCCCAAAGTTTCCAAATTGTAAAGTGTCCATTTAGCAATACTCCAGAAGAGCTTCGGAGACTAATGTCCGACGCGTCAAAGCCTAGGTCGAGAAGATGGAAACCAATGTCCGGTGAGTAATATGACGTTGGAATGGATGGATTGTGCTGGCATTGCCAGATCCGAATCGTTTCTTGGCAGTCTAGGATTGCTCATGGGGTAGCAGAGAACAAGTAACTAAGGCGCTGAGGAGAGAAAAGAAGAAGGGTATCATTAGTATCATTATATCTAAGTGTACAAAAGAATAAGCAAAGGCAGGAAAGAAGCTGGGAGAACACGAAATGTAGCAGTGAGGCGTCCAAGGAGGGTCGGAGTACGGAGCCATATGATCAATGTGGACCAATCAGAATCCCAACGTTGCCCTGCTAGAACTTCCGCCGGACATCGATGTCCGGCACGTGACACTCTCACAACGACCACATATCGTTGCAAGACCATCAGAAGAAGAGATGCAAGCAATACTAAGATTGTCAAAACAGAATATGTCTTCCTCTGGGAAAGGGATTCGTAAACACAATCGAGACTCAACCTCTGGTCCTACACCAGGACTAGGTGAGACGTGCAAAACGTGCACACCATGTCGCCAAAAGAAAGTGAAATGCGACGGGACGCGACCCCAATGTCTTGAATGCAGAACTACAGGTCTCACTTGCGTATACGCTCGTGATGCAAGACGAGAACCAAGGCCGTCAAGGGCTCGGGTGCAGAGCCTGGAGGCTACGGTTGCAACAATGCTGGAGCATATGAAAGCCTCAGGCATGCTCCCGGCCCACGTACAGGCTAGAGACTGCATTCCACCTGCACCAGGAGGTAAAGGTCCCGACAATCCCAGTGATGGTGCTTTAGATCAACAACAGAGTCAAGTTTGCCAAGTGGAAAACCTCAACCATCTTGCCTCGACCGCAGCTATTGCTAGGCCACTACCAACCCCATCTGCATCATCGATTTCGAGCAGATATGACTTTCCTTCAAAATCTCCCTTACCGCATTTTTCAAACAATGCCAGGGTCGCAGGACGTGTGGCATACCAAAATCCGAGAAATGAGGATATGGAAGAAGGTTACGACTTGGGAACGTCAGAGTCTATATCAACAAGATATGCTATGCATGCTACTTTCCCTGGTGTGGACTCGACGATCGGCCAACAGCAGGTGCAAAAGGAAACAGAAGGTGCCACTCAGGGTGATATTGCTATTGGAGGGACCTCCGGGATGTCTCCATGCGAAGCCCGTGTCGCTGGAGCATTTCATGAGCATGGATGTGTCTCATTAGTGCACGGATTGTCCAGCATCATGAACCCCGCGTCTAGGGCCCAGTATAAAGAGAATATCTCCGACATGGTGAGCAAGGGGAAAATTGCCATCGCCACCTCCAGAGCTCGACTTATCAGCAATGCCGCCTTGCAAAGACAACGTGAAAGTCGCATCTTCCGCCAACCATATAATTTGATGGATCTTGATGGGTGTGAGCCTGAGCTAGCGAAGCATCTGCTGGATCTACACTTCAATCGCCAGCATTATGCCTATCTTATCTCTTACCGCCCAGCCATCATGGACGGCCTCTCTAATGGTGGAGGCCCTTGGGTTAATAAGCTGCTTCTAAACGCTATATACTACTCAAGCACACTTTATAGCGATAGGCCATATCTGCGCTCTAAGCCAGAGGACCAAAGCAGCGTCGGTGCTCACTTCTACAGCCGATTTCGACAGCTTCTGGGGGACGCTATCGACAAGCCGAGTATCCCCTCTGCTATGGCTTTGCTGCTCACCAGCGCAACTCTGGTCTCCCAGGGCCAATCAAGCGCCGGTTGGAATCTGTCTGGCACTGCATATCGCATGATTATTGATATGGGATGTCACTTGACGCTTGGGCCAGATCATCAAAGCACGGTCACGTCCAGCGACCGCCACCTCCTAGCTCGAGACTTGGAACAGGAGATGCGGACACGACTTTACTGGGGTGCTTTTGCTACCGATGCCACACAGTCCCTATACCTTGGACGTCCGTGCATGTTTGCCTCCACTGAAGCCAGGGTCCCAATGCGATTCCTGGACACATTTGAAGAGCTTGAGGAATGGGAGCCGTATATCGATCCGCAATCGCCGGTCCCTCCACCTCCAGCGTACGCGTCACAGCCAGCTTATGCTATTTCAACGTTTACCTTTCTGGTCCGCCTATTTCAAATATCCGTCCAAATAACCGACTTATACGGCATACAAGCTATGAAGTACAGCTCAGAAGATATAAGAAACCAGAAGATTGCCATCGGCAGAGAGCTGGATAAATGGTCGAATTCGCTGTCAGATCATATGAAGTTCGATCCAGATGGATCATTTATCCCGCCTCCGCACCATATCACCCCCCTGTAAGGTTGACCTTTTTTCTGACACATCGAAAGTACCAGGACTGATGTTGTGGGCTAGTACTACCTATCACGCCTTGACTATCCTTCTACATCGGGCTTTCCTTGAGGAAGGCCATCTCCGGCGCCACAGCGGGGAAACAGACCGCAGGCAATGCGAGGAAGCGTGCATAAACAGCGCTCTGGCGATTCAAAAGCTGATCCGTGCATACAGAAAAGCTTTCACACTCCGCCGCGCGCCCTTCCTTCTATCTTATGCTGTTTACTGCGCTGTGATTGTGATTATTCGTCAGGAGCGACACGATCGCGGGCAGTTCATAGAGCCCATATCGTTTTTCTGGACTTGTCTGAGCGAGCTACAGCACGGATGTAACTTTGGGTTGAAGAAGCCTCTCAGTATCCTCAGAGATATGGTTTACGAGTTCCGTGTCAGTGTCGAAGAAGGAGGAGTAAATGGGGATGAGATGCCCCAGCAGACGTGCCTTGACCAAACATTTTTCCAACTTCCGATGAATCCTCCAAGCAATGAACCATCCATGAATACACCAGGGAATATTGCAGCCCCCGACTATCTAGGTATGGAATATTTCAATCCCGGCCTTGAGAACTTGTCGCCTGGTTTTTTAAATTCGATGAATGAGTTGGAGAATGATATTACCCACGATACTTTATACGGGCTGTTTGCACCTCCAAACATTTATCGGTGAGCACCTATCCAAGTCGATACAACATTGTTACTTTCAGCTATAGAGTTGAAATGGATGGATGGCCTTGATGAAGTAATACATATTCTATCTATGCCAAAACTACATATAACTTCTGCACAGTCTCATACCATGTCAGGGGTTTCAAATTTCCAGACCCTCCGAATATTAGGCTTAGCCGCATTGCTCCGGATACGCAGAGTCCACTCCGTCACACCAGCCTTCCACTCGGGGCCTCCCAATCCATTCACTTTGTCGTAAAAGTTCAACCCGTAAAACTTCGCCGTTTCCACCTCTCCATACACCTTCACCAAACCGTACCGTCTGGCCGCATTCCAACCCGGGACTAGAGTCAGCTTTTCTCCATGCTCATGGTCATACCAATCGTGGTAATCTTGTTCCTTGTCCGCTCGAGGAGTAGACCCGTTAGCCACCATTATGGAGCCCGCAACTGGGGCTTTCAATTGAACATGAGGCGTAGGCTCTGAGGAGTTGGTCCCGTTGAACCGATCACGACCGTTGATGTAGGCGCACACTTTCCATGAAAGTGAGGCTGACTCCGCATTGTGGGTGCTCAAGTCGGTGTTGTAGTATTCGGGTGTTGAGAGTACCGGCGTGATGTCGCTGAGGAAGTAGACGGTGTTGAACGAAGGCGCTCCGCCGTCATTGGCTCGGAGGATGTACGTTGCTTCGACGTCTGGGAAAGGTGATACCGGTCTCTCGGGTGTCTCAGAGAGACGCATGACAATACCTGGAACAGCCATGATATCCTTTGTTGTGGCTCGGTTGTATGATATCGGATGGTATCACTGGGGGTAGAGAAAGGACTGCTTCCTTCCAACGCTGGTATTCAGAGTCAGTATATAGTGGCGAAGATATTGGTCAATTATATGACAGATGCCACGGAGGATGGAACCCAATTTTCAATTACCGGACATAGATAGCCGGGAGAAGCTCATGCATTCATCACGATTTCCCCACACTGGACATTGAGCACCGTTACTATGACATCACGCTCTTTTGCGAATGAAAGATTATCCCCTCTGACATTTTTTATCTAATGAAGATACTAATAGCTCTATGATTACCATACAGGCCGCCCACTTCTCGTTTTCTTACCATTGAGAATCACAACAAACCTTGAAGCTCTTCAATCCTGCAGACCTCTTACAATGGCACCTCCAATGAGCCCTCTCCCTTCTTTCAACCAACTCCCCTTACGAGAAGGTGACCCACCACATTCAGCATGGGGACTGTGGGGCAACGGTTCAGACAGTGCACTGGGATCACTGAACTATCTCACGGATGATTTGGTCCTGAGAACAATCCAACAAGAAATCAAAACAGGAGAGAGAGTTGGTCTAAAGTGTGTCATTACCAAGTAACTCTATTACACATAGGAAGATGTACTAAAAAATTGAAAAAGCCTCGCTTTGGATCTGTTCGATCCTCCCCTTTTGGGAAGGGCTGGTTTCAAAAAAAGTATCATTGACAAGAGCCCACTGGTAGTGAACGATGACGTGGTGAGCAGATTAATCAAAGCAATTGAATCAAAAAGCTGATATGATACGCAAAAGATCAGCTTTAACACACAAGGAAGTTCTCAATGGGATAGCTTGCGTCATTTTGCCTACCAGCAGGACCAGAAGTTCTATAACGGGTGAGCATATTTTGGCTCCCGATGAAGTATACGAGTACTGATGCAATGCCAGAACTACCCAGGCCGAGATTCATGCAGATTGTAACACATCCGTGAACGGTCTTCAAGCTTGGGCACCACGGGGACTTGCCGGTCGCGGTGTTTTGATAGATTATTATTCATATGCTATTCGAGAGGGTATCGACGTGCAGCACTTCTCCTCTCATCCAATCTCACTCGATAACATGCTGAGTATTGCAAAGGAGCAAAACGTTGAGTTCCGTACAGGAGATGTGCTCTTTTTGCGTACGGGATATGTTGCAGGCTATAAAAAGTTAGACCAAGCTGGACGCGAGAGGGTGGCTGGTGTCCGTGAATGGTGTGGTCTACGGCAGTCGCGTGAAACCACAGAGTGGTTATGGGAGAGACAGTTCGCTGCTCTAGCGAGTGACTCGCCTGGCTTTGAAGTTCGACGTGAGTTGCCCTCTGATTAGTCACATTGAGATTTGCTAATTGTGTTGAGCAAAGCGCCAACGGAAAAAGCATGGCATCTTCATCCAATCATGTTGGCTGGATGGGGAACACCCTTAGGGGAGCTATTCGATCTGGATGCTCTGGCTGAGCTATGTGTGAAAAACGGGCGGTGGTCTTTCTTTTTCACTTCTGCCCCCTTGAACTATTCTGGGGCTGTGGCATCTCCTCCAAATGCGACGGCCATTATGTGAGTGAATAAAAGTTGTTCAAGGATTCAGAAACCTAGAACAGCAGAAGGGAGCAATGCTTAGCAATTCAATAATACCCTATTCATGTAAATAGTGGTATTTTTGGGCGAAGGGACATTAGGAACATCCTCAGTATATCCGATCCACGAAGTTCGCAGAATAAATGCCACAGAGACAGATTAATGTGTTGAATGTATTTATCTTCCTAAGAACCCTAGTCCTGACTCTACCCAGGTTGTCCTCTTCTGCTCTTCGCTTGAACCATACACAGTCACCCACGCCTCGTCCACCGCAGCCTGCGCATTGAACTTAGCCCATGCCTCCTTTTCCAGATAACCAGAAAAGACCATGAATGTCAGATCCTTCTCATCCTCTCGGCGAAGCACCCAAAAGCTGAACACCTGCTCGACGTTCTCCGCTTCTACTGCAATTTTACGGAGATGATCGAAGACAAGGTCACATTTTCCAAGTTCAGTCCGGAGCTCATCCACCACGATGTATTGCTTTCCGTGAACCAAGCCACCTGCGAAGTCTATAGAGCCCCTGCGTGTCAGAAAGCCGACATCGGTGGGTCTCCAAAAACGAAGATCACTCGGTTGCTCCAGTAATTCCTCTTCGCCGACGGCGATTCGAAAGGCCTTATACTCGGCGCTAGCGCGGTGTTCTATAGTGTTTGCTTCGACATCCTCGTAGCTGTATATCTCCTATGTTATCTTCAGTTCAAATTGATGATGGATATTGGACGTACATTTCAAATCCCCTGAGCCAATGGTGTGGGACGGTATCATTATCCTGTGCGCTTTTGAACCAGGCATATCCGAGACATTTCGGCTCGTGGCTCTTGGTTACAGGTGCAATATTGCCGATGTGCTGTAGGAACTATCGCGACTTTAGCAAAGGCCTCCTCTTACATTCGGCATCGTTAGATGATACGTACAATGTCACGCTTTGCAGAGGAGGCGCACCTGGATAGCGGCGAGATAATTAACATGAGTAATGAGTGGTATCAAGTTGCCCATTAGATATCCATCGATGAGACTTGGAGATAGGATATTTTGGCAATTATAAACAACCGGAGACATGTATCCGGGATCAATACTTGAAATTACTTGGCCGGAAAGATGTTCTCCAATTACCCCGCCCAATCGGACATTGAATGCCCCGCATTAGTGACAAATTACGCATCCAATGCCAGAAAAGGTCTCAAAAAGAGGTTGAAGCAGGCTCAAATATCCAAAACATCTTTATAAGTCAGACTCATCATCGAAAATGTCCGCTGAAACTCCCGTTTTACCTGCCTCGTTCCTCAACAGTTCCCTGTCCCTCCCGTCGGCAGCAATTCGTCTCAGATGGTACATGTGCGTCATTGTCACGTTATCTTCACTGAACTATCCCGATGCAATCCCTCAAGTCTACGCTCACCTTGACAAAAATTTGCTGTCTTCAATGTCACCCGAAGATCGCTTTGCAGCTGTCCAACAAGTCCGCGAGGGACTTATCAAATCGACCGGCATAGTAGGCGCCTGCAGAACAGGGAACGCGATGCGCACCTTATCAACATGCATACCGGAAGAACTGCGAGAGAAAGAGTCACCGAGATCAAAAGAATCGGACCAAATGGCACGAAAAAGAGGGAAAGAATTCTGGAGCAATATTTATGCTAGGAATCCGGCCTTTGATCCGGAAGCTTCTGTGCGTGCTAGTCCCGACTACGCTTTTATTGTGCGAGGTAAGCGCATGGATTATGGTCTTAGTTCAGAGCGTGAATTCGGTTAACATTGTAACAGAGGTTCTCTATGCACGGATATTCTCATTTGATGGTATACTTGATGCGTTGACAACGGGGTATGCTATTGTATCGGGACTGTATGGTATGGATTGTCAGAATCAACTGCAGCATCACATGAAGGGTATGCTCTTTAATGGTGCTACGAGGGAAGATCTCAAAAACCTTCAGGAGCTTTGTCTGGGTCTGGCGAAAATTCTTGGTGTCAGGTTTAGGTATGGTCCTGCCCCAATCCCTACTATTCCTGAAGGAAGTACATAAGGTATCGCAAGTGACAGAAGTTCAAAATCTATTCGTTGTAATTATTCCATCTTGTCCCTCATATACATGCCAGCCCACAGTATTGCCCAGGCCATGGCCATCAATCTCTGCCTCGGATTCCAGCTCCATTGCTCCCCGCAGATAATCCATCATGCGTGAGTCAAATGCTTTGCAAGCTAGGAGATCTGGCCACCGTCGGAACCCATGTGGCAAGCCTGGGAACAAATGAACGGCCGTTGGGGTGCTGTGGAATGATACAATTAATATCGGTCATTAATATCTGCACAAGTGTTCTTTTGTTGCATGAATAACTTACCGTAACAACTCTAGCTTTTTGGCAAATAGAAGCCCATCATCTCTGAGTGGATCCATACCGGCCACGAAGAATCCAGTTCTTGGCCACCCACGTAGAAGCTCGTCGGGCAAAGTTGCAATGTTCAAAAGCGCGTCGCTTGGATTCTTAGCCGAAAGAATATCACTGAACATCTTGAGCCTATCCCGCGGAATGACAGGCGCATCACGGCACTGGACCTTGGCTGTAATCTCTGGTGAGGAAAATAAATGGAACGGATAGTTGTCTACATGTATCAGCCATGGGATGCCCAGCACCGCCGATTTGATCATCGGCTCACGGTCAGGCTGCGCTCTAGAGGCTTCAAGATCCCGAAACACCACACCGGCTGCCAGACCCGAGCCTGCTGAGATACCAAGAACGCCCAACCCAACATTCTCGTCAATATTGAAAGCTTCCATATGCCCTTCAATGTATACCATGGCATCCCACGCATCTTCATGCTGCGCGGGGTGCTGAAATTCTGGCGTGTGTCGGTAGATAACGCTCAGCACTATCACCCCCAAAGATGCCGCTATGTTAGCACAAAGAAAATCATCCGTTGACTCCGATCCAAATAAAAAGCCTCCTCCATGGAAGTAGATTATCGCTGGCAGCGAACTTTCTCTTTTCAGGCTGCGAGGCATGTACCGGCGCAACGGGATTGAATGACTGCCGCGAGAATTAATGTATAGCGTCGATATATTAACTTTTTCGCGGAGCCCAGATTCATCGACCAATTTTGCGGACGCGATCTCTCGAGTGGCATTGGTGGCATCTCGTAATTCTAATGCTTGGAGAGGATCGTTGCCGTTGAGCCCATCTTGCGCTGCTGCTGGATTTTCGGCAATGAAGGCAAGCCATTCCTTGCTAGAAACTCCAAATTCTGAAAAATCCATGGCGAATCAGTGTAGCTGATAGATTGAACAAGCAAACAGTCATATTGGTAGAACCCCGCGGTAAGATGATGCCCCATTTATCACATGATACTCCCCAGGCGATTCTTCTAGTCGCCCGGACATTGAGGTCCGGGCGCGTTATAATGATGCCTGTACATTAACGTGGGGACAAAGGGTCCCGGGAACATCCTTGCTGTTGGACTTTGACACCGCAGAGATCCGGTAACATATTTCCCCCACGTTCGAAAATTCACCTTGTTTACCATCGATCGAGACTCTCCTAATCACACAGTATGTGGCTCTACTATCCGAGCTCTTGGACACGAAGCGAAAACAAGTGCGATCAATTAGGTTGCGATTGCCACAGGATTTGTTTCAGTAATGACTGGGCTATGATAGTCATCTTGATGATAACGAGGAAATTATGAGAAGACTTTGTACAATCCCCACATTTTGAATTCCATTGCGTTAGCCAAAGAATTCGGCAGCAAAGGCCTTCCGATGGAGCCAAGAGAGAGTAACGCAGAGTGAACATGTATTAATCCTGAAAATTGACAAACAACCTTGGAACAACGATATTTGCCGAATCACCTATCGGTCCCATTAGACTCCCTATTCCTCTCGGCTTTGCATTCTGTTGAACTCATGATGACTCGAAATGATCTCCTCGGCAACGCTCACATTTTCCGGCCTGCCCAATCTCTCTCTGATCCACGCCCCCTTCCACACGAGCCACACAATGGGCGCAAAGGCCAGCAGGCTCCCCACAAGGGCAAACATGATGAATGCAAACTGAAATCCGATCGCATTGCACAGTTTGACGCCGTAAAATGCGACCGTACAGCTGGTACTCTGACGGCAAAAGTTGAAGAACTGGGATACCTCCGAGCCCTCGACACGGTATGAGTCGATACTGTATGTGTAACACACAGTTGCCACAATCTGAATTCCGAAGATGCCTATGAACATACCTGCTAGTGGACCCGACCAATGCGAATTGTATTGAATCGTGAATCCGAATATAAGAAGCCCTGCAGGTATCAGAGCCGCTCCAGTCCAAATACCTTTGAAGCGGACTTCTGGTGGTGGCGAGTCTACACCTAGTCGAATAGAGTCGCGGTGGACGATGTCGTCAATTATCTTTCCCGCGGCAAACTATTTGCTAGTTAGCTTGCGTTGACGGCTAGATCGTGGAGTCTGGTTGGCACTTACCTCGCCGACTATAGAGCCAATGGTCATAGTACCACCATAGGCTAGGCCACACTGCAAAGCACTCCAGCCAAATCTCTCCTTGAAGATAATGGCATAGGTGACAGCTGGGAATATAGCTGTAAAGCAATACTGCGAAGCGTAATACAGACTCGGGAAAAGGACCGATGGGTACAATGCCATGCGAAAGGCGGGTATGACAAAGTGTTTTGCCTTGAGCTCAACCCCAGGGAAGCTTGTCCACGGCCGGAGAAGCTCTCGATACTTAGCCATAGATAACTTTGGAGGCTCAGTGTTGGTGTCAGAGTATAACCTTGGCTTGTAATACATGGTCTCGGGTAAGCCGAAAACCAGAATCGTAAGAGTAATGAAGTTCATGGCTGCGGTGATCCAGAATATCCATCGCCAGCCTAAGAACTTGGCAACTGGCCCACCAAAGAGGCCCGAAAAATGAGATCCAGAGGTCAGCATGACAGTAAACAGACCCAAAGCGCGGCCACGTTGGTGATAGAAGAACAGGTCTGTCACAGTGGCTGGGCCGAGGGCCATAGAAACCGGAAAGATGCCATTGATTGCGCGAATTCCGACTAGAGCACCAAAGCTGTGTACGAAACCGCAGCCAAGAGCAGTGGCAAATCCGATGAAGGTAGTGATGAGATAAACGAAGCGACGGCCATAAACATTTGCCAAAGGAATCCAGATAAAGGGACCGACGCCGTTAAGGGCGATCACAATGGTTCTAGAGACATCAAGATGGTCAGAGACAATATGCTCTTTCATCTTCATAGATATGGGGATTTGGCCTACGTCTGGTACGAGGCTTGGACCTCTGAAACCCCCAAATCCTCTGCTAATAGCGAATAGGCTGAGTTAATGGCAGCAGTATTCCAGGTTCCCAGCTAGGTCCCACTGCGATCAGTCTATGGAGGCAAATTAACATGAACAAAACTATCATACTCACAAATGCGAGCCAGCAAACCTGAAACAGAATCAACGCTTTGAGCCTCGTGGGCCAGTTAAGTGGATCACCCTCATCTTCGGACGGCCGAGGCACAAAATGAGCTCTAGGATTATTGGCTGCCGCCTTGCACTCGATATCATCGATATTTTCAATACATTCTTCATTTTTTCTATCCCATTTTTTCTCGGCAGTGGCTGCCATGATTGAGACGGAGTTCAAATCAAGCAAATCGATTTCTTAGGAAAAACATGGCTCATCGATGAGGTTCTCAAAAGATTAAGTATCTCAGTGGGTCCTGGAAGCATGGATGCCAAGACAATAGTGAATGGTAAAGTGGATCCGAATGGCCGGACATGTACTTCCTTTTCCTTCCCCACATTCCGCCTCAATATATCCGGGATGCATGGGCTCGTCATTCATGTACCCCGCAAATCCAGTCCGTCTCCCCGGGGATTTCAAATCTGCGGCAGATCGCTTTCCCCGGAAAGAGCCTTGTGTTCCCCGCATCGCTGAATGGAGAAATTCCCTTAATGTCGATCTCCAGCGATTCGTTTCATGGCTCGCTAAGTGGGCTTGGGACGGGCTACGCGAAAGCGCTTTGCCGCCATTGACCTTGAACCTCGGGATGGAATGTTGTGAAGGGAATTTATAAAGGAAGCGTTCCGGCCGGTTGATCTATGGGGGGTTTACAGGGATGATCTCTAACTTAAAGCTTCATCTGTCACCATGCTAGCTCGCAAAGTCTGCCTCGCGGCAATTCTTTCTGCTCTTGAAGTCTTTGGTGCCCCAACCTCAAGCTCAAAGACAGCCAAGGATGCTGGACTCCTTATTCAAACATCGAGTGGGTCGATTAAAGGTTTCTTCAACTCCTCAGCCCCTGATGTTTGTCAGTTTCTCGGTGTTCCTTTCGCGGAACCTCCCGTAGGAGATCTTCGCTTCGCCCGCCCACAAGAGGTGACATCTAAGGGAAAGGTTAAGGCACATAAGCTTCCTAACTCTTGTATGCAGTAATTTAGCCTAAATAGCTCTATACTCTATACCACGTACGAGACTAAGTTTCTGATGAATGGTGAGAACTCTAAAGATTGTCTCTATCTTTTCATCTAGGCACTAAGGATCGATAAAATTAAGTCTATGTAACGCCAATTGCCGGTTCTTCTTTATATACCTAGTGGCGGCTTTACTAGCGGAGGTCAAAACTCTCTATATAAGATTCCGGACTAATAGGTATAATGCATATAGTCTAATATTGTGATTATTATGAATAGACCTGGACAAACGGGTAATTTTTTTCCCGTGGGGGCTAGAATGATTGGCCCCCACGGGTCTTTTTTTAAAAGTCTTGCCAAGCCTTGCCAAGACTACCTATTTAAGTAATTCTCTAACCTAAATAGGTAATCCCACGGGTAATGAGACTAGACTTCAGAAAATACCCACGGGTATGGGACTAGAATTTTCTATTACCCGCGGGTTTTGTCCAGGTCTAGTTATATTCAAAAGGTTTCTATATAGACTCTAGAGAACGCCTTATCTTATTATTACGGCAATGGCACCAAGCTATTAGTCTCGTTTATCCTAATCGTGGATAATAAGACCTACTTGGTAAATTATACATAGCGGATCTTAGACGGAAAGATTATAAAGATAGTTAGTGCGCCTCTTATAATAGTGTCCATCCTTATTCTTCATTAACAAAGATACTAATCGTCCCTATATCTCGATAGCCTATGATCATTAGTAGCAATATAAATAAAGGAGCCGGTTTCGTTTTATACACCCCCAGACGGACCCAGAGCTGCTACACTTACGACTATAACAAAGATCATCTCTTGCCCCGTCAATAAAGAAGTGAAGAACCGAAACCTAGGATACTTACCAACATATCGCTACCAGTACACTAGAAACTTCTCTAACGTCTCCCCTCTACCTTGGTTTGGAGCCTATCACAGCTTAGAATTACCGCTGCTTTTCGGTACGCACGATGAATACCGCAGTCGCTCTACTAAGTTCGAGTGGGAGGTCAGCTACGCTATGGAGGCGTTGTGGCTCTCATTTGCTGAAGACCCTACACAGGGACCTGGCCGTGTTGCGATTTGTGACGCTGCTGCTAACCCCAACAAAAAGAGTTACTTTGCTTGGCCGGAGTTCCACCAGGGTGGTGAGGATATGTTACTCATTGCCAAGGATAATGAGATTATGCAACTTGTTTCCTCGGAGAGTATTGACGCTTCCTGTTGATTCATATCGCATTTCTTACCAATGGTTATCGAAAAGAGAGGTAGGACTGTACATATACTAAGTACTTGGTTATGCATATACAGTCCCTGGTCATGAAAATTCGAATATCACATCCACGTAGGTTGAGTAACTTCTCAAAAGTCAGGCAAGTCCCTGGTCCTACTCAACCGTTGTTGAATCTTCTTTATAGAACCAAGTCAAAATGATAAAAAAGGAAGGTTGAAACTAAGCTAGTCAACCTGTAGTGGAACTGAAGTAGGAATGAAGAGATTTTGTATATTTCATGGCCACACATCATATCCTTCTATGCAGCTAATTTTAGCATGAGCCTTCCCAGGTTGGGATGCCGCTGCTTTCTGTTTCGAGTGAATTCAACTTTTATTTCTCTTAAATCAGGAACCTGCAAAGTACGAGGTCTTGGCGGGCGCACGGGGCCTCAACAACCTCTTATATGTATTCGATGCTACCAAGCATCGCCTCCGCATATTACTTTTTCTTTCTCAATCAATTGATGTTCCTATTTACCTTGAACCTCGAAAACCCAATACCTCCGCGTAGGCATCTCAAATCTCGGCACCCCTACATCACAATGCGGTTCAGCATCTACACTATTCTCAGTATAACCCTTTCTCTATCTGCCACCGCGAACCCCCTTGTCAAGAGGAAAGAATAGGAGTGCAGTGTCGTGAGCCACGGTGACAACGGCGGCTGGGTGAGCTGCCGCCGACAGCCGCGATTGGCTGGAGAGTATTGGGGAAAGATTCAGGATGGGGTTAAGTCAGACTACACGTGCTACGCGGTTGGAGATTGTTACGAAGGAAACTGGTGAATTTGCAAATTCCAAGATTTCCTGATTTCTCTTTGACTGAAAGTTGGACTTTATAGCACCTGGGATTGGAATTGGGATATGGGGTGCTATATTAATGGTTACTGGTGCAGTACTAGTAAGTTATTTTCCTGTTAGTGGATATTTTGGACGATTTTATCTAACTACAATGATTCGGTGTAGAGAATCTCCCTAAATGCACGTCAGCTATTCCATGATTAGGCCTTAGAAAAATAATAATTATAGGGATTTCAATGTTTTGTATTTTGTGCCTCTTATTATTTTAGAATTACGCCTAACCTATAGGGGCAATTCCCTTAGACACTAAGGGATTTAGGGTAAGCGGCTCTAGTATGGGGAAATAAAAGTGGGTCGGGGTCTAAAGCATTTAAACTTCATGAGTCTAACGGATTTACATTCTACCCTTAGGGGAAGCTAATATTTTTATATGTAGGCTGTGCCATAACCCGCAAATGGATAGGCCAAGTCAACCCGCAACCCTCCCCATGCGGGTTGCGGGTTACCCACGCTGGCCCATCTTTGCATAAAATTCTGACACTTTTCCTAAACTGATTAGATAAATTTGATTATTCATATGATTAATTACTGTTGTTTATACATGTTTTAGTCCCGCGTATGAATTTCAGGTTATTTAATTAGGGTACATTTACTTTATACATTATTTACTTTAACGATTCATTAGTAAATATTCTATTTAAAAAAACTACTAAGCTATACTATTAATACTCAAAAATAGAAGTAAATACTACATAATCTATACAGAGAGAGCTATTTCTATGTTTGTCCTATTTGACGACCCATTGGGTAACCCGCAAACCCACGCGGGTTTCCCATAAGAACCCTCAACCCGCGTGCGGGTTAAACAGACTGACCCATTTCCCTACCCATAGGGAGGATGGGGCGGGTTCGGGTGCGGGTTCATGCGGGTCATGGCACAGCCTAGTTTTGACTAAAGTAAGGTCTGGAAAGGATCCTTAATTTATCCCCTCATGATGCATAGCTGTTGAGCCACTACTCTGTTTAACCACCTTTCACCATAACCTTTACCACACCGTTGAACTACCTCCATTGAGAATGTGCAATTTATTTAGAACCCACGATTCGGGTGCAGGCAATACGACGCTCTATTCAGCGCTCTTCATGGCACTCCGGGCGGACTTTTTCGCCTGAATATTCAGCACATATAGCAACTGCACATCTGCCGGAGAAACCTTACAGCGAAGTGTATCCTCTGTATCCTTTGCAACGATACTCTAGACGAGACTATAGCGGGGCTGACCTATCAGGATCAAAGCGAGTGCTTCCGATAGATGCCTATCTTCTATTATGTTGTATCGTACGTTGCTTTATGTGGGTAATCCTGTATTCACCTGGCGCTTACTATAAATATCATATGGATAAAAGCTATCCGCTGAGCAAGTCAAGCCGATATCAGCCTGGCCCTCTGGCGCCTGGCTCTCAGCGGATATACTCGGGTTCCTTTGAAGATACTTAGACCTCAAGAGTCATAGGCGACAACCTATCTTGGAAGCGAGACACTGCCTTCACTTCTGCCTGCTAACCGATTCAATCAAATCTAGTGCATCCCGCGATATCCACTGGCTTTCTTGAGCCATCTCGTCTAGTCGCCATCATAACTGTCGTTTACATTGAGTGAATGCTCTTTCAGCTCATTTAAAGCGTAGGACAATCTGGAAACTAAGTTTCTTCCTATGACTGACAAATGTATTTAATTAGCCCGTCTCGGAAAGCATCCATTTTGAAGACTAGCAAGGAATTCACACATGAATGAGTAAAGCACAATGGTAATATGTAGCACATGAGAGATTATTCACAGAACCAAAATGATGACCCTTTGTCAAATGTACGCCTCTCCTAGGACACTCACCTCTATAGGTCGTACAGCCAAGATAGCTTCGATCCCATCGATTCAATTACAACCTCATTCACACTCAGCAGGTCACAGCATCGTTAGACGAGCTCGTATAACCCAAGCTGATGAAAGTTTTGTAGTTCCAATAGTCAGCCTGTGTGCCCTGTCCATCCACAGTCGCATTGCCGAAAAATTTGGCTGTCCAGTACGAGCTGCCTCGAGTGTACTTCTTCCATGCGGCAATTCCAGTCTCCAGATCCTTCTTCCGGCTCGAAAAGGTGTTGTCAATCTCCGCTTGAATAGCCCATTCTCCGATGAAAACAGGAAACTTGCCATCTCCGGGCGCGGCCACAGCGTCTTCACAAATGTATTGAGTGAGATTTGCGGAGCTAGCACCACGGCCCGCAAAGTAATAGTTGTGTACATCGAAGACCAAGTTTGATCCGGTAGAGAACTTGGGCGACCAATATTCTTCACCCTTGAAACTTCCCTGCATCATGACTGGGATCTTTGAGTTGACGGCTATAGTTTTGGTGATAACTTGACTTATGTAGCTCTGTACCCATTCGGCACCACTATCAGTCAGGCAGTAGGGGCTACCAAAGAGTGTGATGTCTGGTACATCGACGGGTTCATTGATTGGCTCGATGGTGAAATATTGTGGGAATTGAGAATTGTTGATGAAGCTAAGAACAGCATCAACAGCTTGCAAAGAATAGGCGAGGGCTGTCACATTGTTAAACCAGCCATAATGCCCTTCCGCTTCCCCAAATGCCATTCCATTGACGCCACCAGGAAGAGAGTGAAGATCAATAATAATGTGCATGCCGTACTTATTGATGGCATATGTCGCAATATTTTGGAGGAATGAAACTTGATTGCCAGTGTAAAGTTGAGACCCTGGGACTTTGATCCAGGCAGCGTAGGTGGTAGGAATGCGAAGAACGTTTACGCCTGCCGCGGCGAAAGTATCGATGTCGGCAGTGGTAATCCAAGTGGCATATCGGCGCTCAAGCACTGGTCCGCACTGGGAGCCTAGATGGGCACAGAGGCCCCATTCATCCGGAGCTCCCCCAGAATAGGTTCCCCACCATGTTGTGTCAATGGTAGACTCTTGGACGAGCCACCCACCGAGATTGACACCGGCAGCATCGAACGACTTCCAGTCGAGGTAGGTTGGAGTAGCCGCAGAATGAGCGATTGAGGCAGTGAATATGCCAGAAAGCAATATAATGGGATGGAAGTTCAACATTTTTCGCAGCCAGTATAGGATGCAACGGTAGACACTGCGAATTGACTGTTTGGATGTCGAGCATGATTTGAGTAATTAGTAGGAGCCTTATATATTGATATTGCCGATCCTAATTGATGAAATAACTATAATTAGGTCTCGTCACCCCCGCAGAACGCTAGCGAGGCTGGTAAATAGTATCAATGCCGGCTAAGGATGCGAAACCTGACACTTTTCCGTACTAGACGTTGCTGAAACCCTTACCTAGCTCGATGGGGACGACTCCGTCGAATTTCCCCCAAATCTTCGGGAGGTATCTCCACTTTCCGTCACAATACTCTGCAGAGCACGCACTATCATGCGCTTGCATACACCCAAATCTTAATTTGATGTTTTATTAGTGGCGTGCCTTTTCGGGCTTGCATCACTCCGAAAAAGTGTCCACATCTACTAGATTGTTTGTATATCGGGAGGGACAGTTTGTGATTCAATACACTGGCTTGGCCTCATTTTACTCTCATCCAATCAGGCATCTGTCACGGTGTTGCTCGGATTATTCTGCGCCGAATTTGCCTCACACATAATTATGGTCGGTATTCAAGTTGCGACGCGGTAATAATGTTGGCTTCAAACAAGACGTAGTTGAGGTCGCACCATACGCATTCATTCACTCTTTGGATAGTGTAGCATATATTGGAATACTGAAAGCCTAGAGGACATTATTAAAGGAATGTTATCACTATGAGAGGCGAATTCAGCTGAGTCTTGCACATTGCGTGGAGACGTATCGGGTACATTTGGCAGTTGCAGACATACTGATAACTTCGGGCTGGCTTACTGCATACTAGTGGTGCCCGAGCAGGATTAAAGCGCGATTTTAAGGCTAGACTCGATTCTGAGAAAGCATAGACGTCCAACTCGGTACATCGATGACCGAGATCCGAGGCTGGCATGATATGCTGTGTCTTCTTTAGAAAAGAAATTAATTTGCCCAAGCCTTTGGGTCCCATTCATGTTTTGTCGTCGTGGGGTGGGTCTACGCATTTTGG